CCTTTGACCCTCCTTGATTCCAACCCCACTCTCTTTGGACCCTGCTCCCAGCTTGGCTTCTGTTCTTGGATTTCCTTGTGATTCCATCCCTTTACTCGTCCACATGTATCTTGTAATTCTGTCCCTCTGCTTGTGCTACTGAAGATATTAACATGAGGGTCTACTTGTTCCGAGCTCTGCGCCAAGTGCTCCTGCATCGGCACTGTACCTGTCTGTACGCTGCCTTGCCGAGCAGATTCTTGGTTTCTAAACCTCTGCCTCACTTCCGATTTTTGCTGTTTCTCTTTCCTTCACAAGGCCGCCCACTGCTGCCTTTCATATCTGATGGAACTCGGGTCTTCCTGCCTTTCTGGACCTGCCCACCTTTTAGCACAGAGGTGAAATCTGCCTAGTTCTCCAGCTTGGGAATGTTACATGTGGGTGTAAAAGGAACTAATTACATACATTTCTACTTAATACGAGTCTCTCTCCAAGTGAGATGATTTCCTTAAAGTCAAGTGCTTTCATCCGCATATTCACAGAACAATGCCAAAAGCCTCAGGAAATGATTAAAAAGCAATTTATCTTCTCTTTATTCATCATATATATATTTAAAAGAAAAGCCATGTACTAAAATGAGTACTTACTAAGAACACCCAATGCACTAAAAATACCGGAAAGAAATTATTCTCCTTCAACTATCCCCTCACGGCTGCTTAGCAATCCTTGCACTGAGCTCTCGGTGCTCTCTCAGCAGCTCGCACCAGCAGCCCTTCCTGGCTTCTCCAGCCCCTACCAGCTCCCCAGAAAGTGCTTCTTTAGAGATGATCTCCTTTTCTTTGAAATGGAGGCCACTTGTGGTCATCTCCTTCTATACATCTGTGCGTTTACACCATCCTTTCTTCCTTCCGAAGAAGGAGGGAAACAAGAAAGAACACCTCTACTCCTGTTCTGATCCCTCCACTCTGGTCTCCTTCCTACCTCTCCTACCCCACCCTCCCCCCGCTCAAGGGTCTCTCGCCCAGGTCAACCACAAAGAGCGCCCAGGTCAACCACAAAGAGCGGGTTCACAAAGGACCATCGGGACCTAAAGAGTTTTTATAGATTCCCAAAGGTGTCCATAACAACACAGAAAAAGAACACCTGACAGGGCCGCCCAGTCTCCTCCTCCTCACGGTCGTCTTCTTTATGGTCAACCTTTCCATCTAATCCTCCTCTCTCTCTCTCTCTCTGCCAGACAATGGGGAGTTTGGGGTGAGATGCCAAAGGCTCTTGATGGCACAAACTGCCTTACCATCGACTATGTCTGCTCTAACGTTTCTCCCTCTGCCTTAAAAAGTAAAGAGGCTTTTCCTTGTCTCGAACACATCTGGGCCTGACCCTTCTGCTGTTCGTTGGACCTCATCCTAGAGCTGGGCCATTGCAAATTGCCAGTGTTGGGTCAGGAAAGCCCCCTTTTGGCCTGAGGATGGAGGAGCTAAGGAAGGTGGTAGAGGTGGAGGACCGGGGATTGGGAAGTTAAGGATGCCACCGGTAGTCAGTTACAGGAGAACCAGCTGGGGAGACTAAAGACTGAAGCAAACAGAGGTGAGAGGCCAGATCCATGGAGCAGTCTGGTCTCAATACCAACAGGAACCACAGCCAGGTGCTCCTGATTATCTCACCCTCCCTACAAGACCCCCGGCTTGACATGCTGGGATTAGTTCCATGCTTTTGGCTGGAGACAGAGGAGCTGCCTCATTTACTAAGGCCTTTCTGTTGTCAGCACCTTGTCATCGGTCTTCTACTCGACTGCATCTTCAGATTTCCTGATTCCTGGACATGGCCTTGCACCGCTGACGACCCATCTTATTCTGCCTCCTGATACTTGTGTCTATTTTGTGTTTGATTATCAAAGCCAAAACTAAGACAACATTGGGGTGGACCAGTATTTCCTCTGGGCTCCGAGTTCTAGAAAGAACTGAGATCCAGAAGGTACCATGCAAGGATCCTCAAATATGAGGAAGGAGCAGATAATTAGGGATACTAGGTACGAGGTGGGGAGGACACTAAGCAGCTATCTCTTTAAATTAGCCAACTACTCAGAACCTATAGGCTTCTCTCCAAAAAGCTTGGATTGGCCAGACGGATGCAGGACTTTCAGTAAGGAGCTAATGGTTCTATTTTCAGGCTCTGAGAGAATTTACCCAGAAAACTCTTTTTTAAAGTCTGAAAATTCTTTGGCAACATCTTCCTAACCTCCTCCTTAGTCCTACCATGTTATTTGCATACCACTTTGTCAGCGTTTTCCCCTGTCCCCCCACCACAGCCTCACCCCTCCATGTTTCTGAGACATGTGATAGATTGCAGGCAGATGGGGACCAAGCTAATCCCTTTTCATGCCCATCTGTAAGTCACTGTTTTGTCTTGTAAAGAATGACTAGCTAGCGAACATGCTACCATGGAAATGACAAATGGAGGCAACTACATATGTTTTTAAGAAAAGGCCTACTGAGATGCCTTTTCCTCATCAGAAAAGAGACGACCCAGGCTGGATTCTGGAACTTTCCATGGCTGGACACAGGACCAACCTATTGCCCCAGAGCAAAATATCCCCAGGCCAGTCGTTAGGAGCCAATTAGAATGATTAATAGCCTCACTGTCAGGGCTTGCTTGTATGTTCCTCATTTCAATCCTTTAAACTGTGGTTCAAACCTGGCTCTCCTCTTTCATGAATGAATTGTATCTGTTTAAAGCAATCTTTAAAAAAAAATTTTTTTATCCTCCCCCAAGGACATTTTTTCATTGCTTTTAGAGAGAGGAAGTGGGGAGGAAAGGAGAGAGAGAGAGGGAGATCAATGTAAAAGAGAAGAATCGATGAGTTGCCTCCTATACATGCCCGGACCGGGCATCATATGTGCCTGGACCAGGGATCGAACCCGCAAACTAGGTATGCCTTGACAACAGATGGAACCCACAGTGTTTTGGTTGCAGGACGATGCTCCAATGAACTAAGCCACACCGGCCAGGGCTAAAGGAATCTTTTTATTTGAATTATTTAAGTTGCACATTTCTATTGGCTTTGAACAATGGAAACAACCCCACATGTTATGATCTATGGTTTAATCCATAGTACATTCCCGGTGTGTGCGCCATTGTATTTCTCTTTATTAAATGATTTTAACAAAATGAAGATCCTTGCACTGCAGTTCCACTGTGCTCTGTTTACCTCCCTGTTTAGGGAGATGTGTTCTAGCTAATAATCAACAGGAAGAAAAGAGCACAAAGAGCTGCCTAAAGTTTAACAAAAAGTAAAATGCCAAATCCCTTTGCTCCATCACTAGAGGAGAACACTTGAAGTACTATTTCAAAAAAATGCATTTTTATGGCTGTGAGAGTACATGAGGAGAGGAGAAAGTGATGGCAGCAAAGTCTGAACTTTCAGGGATTTTAAGATGTTGGTTTCAAAATGGAATTTATCTCCAGATCCCAAGATTACACAGATTTCCTTCCAAACTGCATTCCCTACATGGTTTGGAGCACAGTTGAGAAAGAAATTGCTCTCCATATTTTGATTGACATGAAAACACTGTGAAAATAGTTTGGAACTTGATCTCTTCGCGGGAAGGACGATAATCAAACTACAGCTCTTGCCTGCTGCCTTTCTCTCACACTTACTCAGAACCGTTCCAAGGAAAAGAAATTCACAGGGAATTCTGTTATCATATATCACTCCTGGAAGGAGAAAGAGGCATTCTCAAGAAAATTATCCCCCAACTTCAAAATACATAGCAAAAAGATGATTTAATGAATCTCAACATAAAACCACCTCACTCCATGCAATAAAATCAAATTGAGCCCGTTGTTTGGAGGTGGAAACCTTGAATATCCAGATTTATTTTAAAAATTATCAGATTTGCCCTCCTTACCACATATCTCCTAGCCTTCACTTAAGTTCCAGCCCTACACGTCTGGTTTTGCCAAACACAGCAGAAAGACTTTACTATTTCAGTTTACAAGTCTATCTGCCTAGACCTGTGAACAGAAGGGATCTACAAATACCAAGTACTTTGTTCTCATTCACTTTTTCTGACCATGTATTGCCACAGCACTAAAATCGCCCAGCCTTTACAATCAGCTCTTTCTAAAAGGAATTCCAGGCTACTACTGACCAGCTGCCTGGTACTACTGTTCAAGATGCCCAAATATGTCTGACTATCTTGAAATGAAAGACCATTTCCTCCCTTTCTGGGACACACTTGCAACTTACAACTTTTCAACTAATCGAGTCACGCTCAGGCACACTTTCAAACAGAAAAATAAGATTTCTCAAGAAATAGTTTGGTGGGATGTTGAAAGTGATTCCTGAAAACACACCCACCAGTGCATGCATTCTCTCATTATTAGGTTTTATAGGAAACAGACCGAGGTAGGCATCTTCTTCCCTAGCAAATATCAGATCAGTTACATTCATCCAACCAGTGCTCAGTGTCAGGACTTTCTACCTCTGACCTTATTTCCTGGCAGCCCTAGAAGTCTAGTCTCAAATACTGGTGGCAGAAGAAACTGTAAACGCCTTTGGTTAAAAAAGCATCACTTTCTGGCTTCTCATCAACCTAAAAAGTTGCTGTCGTTAAAAGTAAAACCTCTTTAAACCTCTGATAATAAAAGATGCAGGAGAAACTGCCGGTGTGAGCGTAGGGACACTGGCCTGGGGCGACCAGGTAAACCCCCACCGCACGGCTAAACAAAAGGCTGTTCTCATCAAAGTTGCCGGTGGTCCCTGCATCTACGCCTCTAGACAATCTCTCCTCTCGTCCCAACTGGAAGAACAAAACGTGAAACCTCATCCTGTTTGTCTTCCGGGAACATCTGCAGGGCAGCGAAGCTCAGTCTGGCTCTGAGAATTTGCATGGTTTATTGATTTTTACAGTCCTGCATCTCCGGCCACTTTGGCCAGGAATGTGGACTGCACCTCGGAAGGAGAAAGTCCCCAGACTCTCTCTCTGGAAGAGATTAAAAGAAAGTCCTCTGCGCCTTACCTCATAGGCTGAAACTTCTTCCCGGGGACTGAGTCCGAAAGGAAGGACCGATTTCTTTAAGCAGGAGCACAGCAAGAGGGCAGGCAGGCAGGCGGCCCAATACACACTGCTCTATTCAATAAAACTGCAGACCGCCCTTCCTTAGCCCCTCCCAGAAGTCCGCGCAAAGCGAACACACATCCCCTGTGTTTACAGTCGGCAGTCGGTGGTATGCATTGTCCTGTAGGTTTTTCTAATAGGCAGCCAATGACGACACCTCGGCCGAGGTGGATGTAGCCGGCCTGTGGAGATGCCTGTCATTCCCTAGGCATGCTCAGGAAATCACTCATCAGAAAAACCAAGACCTAAAAAGCTCAGAAACTGCGTGCAGGCTGCCAAAACCAGCCTGCTCCATGCCCTTTTTTGGTTATCCTAAGCAGGGCCTCTGGAAGCGAATCCATTGTCAGGAACAATCATAAGAAATGTTAATCTTGGAGAAAGAGGCTGTCTTGGTGAACACAAATGGAACTTTAAAAAAGAAAGCCGTCTAGGAAACTAAAAGGTAACAGCCCATAAGTTTAGTGGGGGTGGAGAAGGCTATTTAACTGAGGGAGGCTTAATGGTGTATTTCTTTTCAAAGCAGTTGTAAATACGAAGTGAAATAAAACCGTTGTGTAATTTTTAAAGCCTGAAATGACGGGGACCCAGGTCTGGTGTCCAGGCTAAATTCTAACCGGAGAGAGGCACAAACAACCCCCTGCCGTGTGTCTACATGTGTGGTAAAGACAACTGACCAAAAAAGCTGAAGTGGTTTTCTGTTTTTGTTTTTGTTTTTGTTTTTTTTAGCAGGTAATGTTTGCCAAAATAAGTGTAGCACCAGAAACACAGCTTGGCTCTCACTGGTTTGCCACACCACCTCCCTCTCTTCATCCCCTCTGCTCCCTCAGATTTGTCAGTGGGGAGATATTGCAAGAAAGCCCGCACAGCAGAGGGGTCACGGAGGCACCCAGCACCTACTTCGGGGCTGGTGTAGGCAAATGCTTATGCCCACAGAGATGACACCGATGCCCTAGTGACTTCTTGAAAGTACTCCGACCACCTCTTCATTGGTAGGATGTGTGTTAGGAAAAGGTCAGAATCAGGAGATACTACATCACAATGAAGTTAACTGGACAACTGTGCATTCAATCCTTGGTCTTGTGCTTTTAAATATAGGATTCACTCAACCGGTACTTGATTCAACAACGATGAAAAATTATGAGCACTTAACAACTATTTGTCAGGCCTGCGGCTAGGTGCTAGATTTATGCATTATTATTGCTATGTGTTTGGAGACCATTTCATCACTGACCAAGAAGAATTAAAATATTTTCCTTGGCTAATTACAAGTCCAGAAGCTTGGTCTTCAAAAATCTGAGGTTTTACTACATAAACCTTTCCCTGTTTATGAAGCTCCAACTTAGAAGTGACCTCTACTTAGGAAAAAGTCCCCAAACTTTGTGCCTCACTCAGAAGGATGAGGAGGGACTGGTCCAAGCGGGGAGTGTCCTTCAGCTCTCCAGCATGAACAAGTTACCCAGAGGCACCCGCATCACCTTACAGTCATTTTTCTCTTGGGAAGGCTACCCTGTCCACTCTCCCCAACTGCTACCGCACTACAGAGCTTAAAAAAGCTACAAGTGACGGCTTGCCAGGCGGAGGGAGAGATGAGCTGCAAGCATCCCAAGTTAGACCTCAGAATGCACGTTCCCAGGGAAACGGAGTAAATAACAGCTGGTGGGAATGGACCGTCAATGCCATGTGTCGAGGATACTGTGGCTCAACCAGGCATCTGTGGAGCATAATCATTTGATAGACAGTTCCTATGGGAAAATGTCTTCGAATCCCAAATAAAAGATTTGGAAATTAACTTTGAGAACACAGTTTTGCTACTGGGGATATCCCATATCTGAACAGACTGGGAAGGTAAAGTATATACTTCATAGTCTGGTAAACAGCTGAGCTTGAAGACATTGTAGGACAGACATGAATGAACACTGAGAGCAACTCAGTCAGTGGCATCTGGGTGAAGATACGACCTGTGTCAGAGATGCTTGGGGCCCTGGGTCACCAGGCAGTGTGGCCTATAGCTCAGCAAGGCCTGTTTAACATGCCACTTTACACGGCCACTGCCAATTGGGTCCTAGGCAGCATTCTCCCTGCTTGTATGAGCAATGCACTTCGGTGGGCAACGTCAAGGCGTCATGTGCAATCTATGAATAAAGTAAGTACCAGCTTCCCAGAGGAAAGAAAAGTTGTGCTACAAATGGGGAAAATATTATCAGCAGGAAACATGGAAAGGACATGCATTTTGTATGGTTTTTAGAAGATAAATGGCTAAATATTTTGGGGTTTGTGTTTTTAGAAAAGAGAAGTATGCTTCCCTAGATAAATTCTAAATACCTCATCTGCAGGCTTAGAGTGGATGAGCACCCATTCAGCCTATTTTGTATATTTGAAAATAGAATTATTGTGGAAACACTATGTAGTTGGAAGAAAACTTTAGCAAATTTTATGTAATATATATCATGATATAGAAAGATTTTTTTTCATTTTTGTTTTTACATTTTTTTAAATTAAGCAAGAATGAAAAAGGAAGGAAAAGGGATGAAATAAAAAGAAAGAAAAAGACAAATGTTGCCAATTTCTGCCATGGGAAACTTGCCTTACACAGTACTTACTTTTTTCCAGAGGTCATTTGTAAACAATACTAAAAATACACAGGATTTATGTAGGCAGTTTCTGTGGAATATATTTCCCACTTGGATCATCCCAGATAAAGAACAGCTTGTCTGGCATAGGCTGTATCTATCTAATCAACCATAACAAATCTAATGAGACATTTGGAAACATCTGGATGACTCATATTCTTTCGGTTCCAGCTGCCTATTTGTAATCATGTAGATCAGTAGTGACCAATTATATTTTGCTTGTGTGTCAATTTGGGAAAAGAAAAGGCAGGCCATACTTTTTCATTTAAAATTGAAATCACTTCATGTAATCCCATGAAAAGCACACATTCTTCTGGCTTCAGATATGTGCTTTGTTGAACAGAACAGATATTTCGAACATTTTAAAAGACAATAGAACACTTCCCATGCCCTGCCCCGCCCCCCCCCCCCCCACACACACCTCTTCTTTTATTCCAATAGAGTGTTTCCAGAAACTCAGGTTTCTAAAACAACAAATCAGGCTGGTAGACTGTTGATACCAAAATTGGACAACAAAGACAGTACAAAAGAGAGAGAGAGAGAAAGAATTAAACTAAGTGTACTTATGAACCCAGATGAAAAAATTAACATATTGACTGCAACAGCATTAAAAAAAGCTAATGCAGAGATGGTCAAATCTGGAAATGTACTGATACATTATATATTATTAGCAGTTTAAAAGTAAAAAAGAAACAGAAAAAAAGAAAAGAGAAAGATCATCTTGACAGATAAAAATTAAGGCTTGGTAAAATTAGTAATCACTTATAGAAAAAAGGATCTCTTAAAAGATTAGCAACAGACTCTTTATAAACATAATGAGAGACATTTACCAGAAACCTACAGCAAAAATCATGCTTAATGATGAAAATGTTAAAAATATTCCCATTATAATCAATGAAAAGACAAGGATGACTGTCTTTTCTACAATTGAGAAAAGAGCTGGAGGTTCTAGCCAAGAAAAAGAGAAAGAAAAAAAAGAAATAGGAGCCACTGGAATTAGGAAAAAACCCCACAATTGTCTTTATTTGTTAAGATGTGATTATGTGTGAAGAAAATTCAAGAGAATCAACAAATATATTAGAACTAATAAAAGAGTTTAGAAAGATTATTAGACTCAAGTTTAGTATGCAAAACCCCAGAATTTATGTAATCTCTAATTTTAAAATATAATGGAAAAATACACTACTTATATTAATAACAGAAGTGTGCATTACCTGGGAATAAATGTAACAAAATATGTGCAAGAAAATTACAAAGCTGGACGTAGGAGTGTAAAAAGCCTGCATAAATGGTAAAATTTATCACTTTCCTGAATGGCAAACCTCAAAATTATAAAGATGCAAATTCTCCTCAAATTAACCTACACCTTTATTATTCCAACTAAAATCCCTAAGTAATATATTTTGTAGAACTTGACAAAATAATCTTAAAATTAATATGGGAAAATGAAGATCTAAAAATAAACTGAGATATTTTATAGAGCAATTCTAGTTAAGTGTTATTGACCCAGGAATAGACAAATAGATCAATAGAACAAATAAGAAAGCCTAGAAACTGTCCCAAACAGAGGTGGAAACTTCTAAAATAATAGCAGAGGCATTGCAGATCAGGAGAAAGGGCAGACGAATCTATTAATGGTCAGGTTACAATTGATTATGTGGAAACAATAAAATTAATTTCAAAATCGCCCCTCCCCCCATTGAAAGTAACTAGGTTACATGAAAAACAAAATTTGAAAATCATTAGGAAAAATTGTAGGTGAATATTTTTATGATAGCTATGATATGGAAGGAATCTTAAGTCATAAAAAACAGGACTTAAAATGAAGAGACTGAAAAAAATTTAAGGATATGGTTAAATTTGGCAGATCAAATGCACAATACTCATTTATTTCTGCTGCTTGCTCAAACCTCAGAAAGATGATAGAAAAGAAACGAAGAATCATAAATAAATCCCGCAAGGCAAAGAGTGCTGGAACAAAGTCAACAGAGAGTTCAGATGTCAGCCAATTTCTGGAATATGGAAAATGGACGGAGGGTTGGTAATTGACTTAGCAGAGCTGAGAAACTGAACTCTGGCCCCGTAGAGTGCAAGACCACGGGCAGGAAAGAAGCTGAATCAAGACTCAAACCAGGAAAAACTCAAGATTTAGAAGCCCTGGGAACCTCTGAAGGTGGAAGACAAGGCAGAAAACAGGTTGGATTGAAAATATGAGTAAGGAACAGTGAAAAGCCCAGATATCTTTCTCACTCCCACACAAACCAACAAAAAAACCTACAGGCACGCAAGCAGTGAACTACCCTCTCCCAACCAGATAAAAGAGACAGAAACTGGTAGCATATTCTTCAAAGAGAAGTGCTGGCCTCAGAATGTCAGGCAAAGCAATGGACAGGTAAGAGGCTATGTACTGAAAACAAAGTTTTAAATGAAAGTGTATTCAATGAACACTAAAACACTCCCAGCATTCTCACTCCCAGGACGCAGTCAGGTTTATACTCCCCAGAAAGGAAATGGGAATATTCCGCTCCAGGGAGTCTGGCATGACCATAGGAAAAAACCTAAACGCATATTTGAGG